TTTTTCTAGCGGCTTTTCATTCTAAAAGATCTTTAAGAATTAGCAAGTCTGTCTTGCTAATCTGTCTGCTATTGACCCCTTGTCAGCCTTTAAAATCAGTCTATTAGCCCTTGAACACCCTAGAAAAATGTCACTTCAAGTTCTCATCTTTCCTGGCATTTGATCAGCTTAGATTAGAAAGCAGATTGCTTGACATCTTGCAGAATAGCAGCTGAGGTCCTCTGGCTAAGTCCCTTCTTCCAAAAAGTATCTTTTTTACCGCTTCATCTTGCTGCTACTGATACATGAAGTTACATATGCCTTTGGCTATCCTGAAGCAGGATTGAGTCCCCTTGGTTTTGGTCATTTATTTACATGAGGTGCTTTTAGACTATCAGGCAGCACCTGGGGCCTAAAGGGGACTGCTAGACATAGCTAAGAAATTGGAGTACAACAGCTGAAAGGGATAGAAGGCTAAGAAAAATACTGTATCTAGAGAAAGTCAGCTAAAGACCATCTTTTTATAGACTTGCATGTAGTTTTACTGGTGTGTCCTTCAACACAGCACTAGAAGAAACAATTCCTGGTCTCTAAAGTTTCACTTGAAAGTGCTCGATGGAGATTCAGATCCTTCCACACAGCATAGTGGTTAAATTAAACAAAATCAGTACCAGCCAACTTCATATGTCTTCATGTGCAGCGGGTTTGCACCAACTTCCATGTATTGCTGTGAGTAGACAACTTTTTCTGGATATAGTGGTGCAAATGGAAGAGGTTACACTCCAAGCCCCCTCTCACTTGCCTGTCAGTACAAACCTACACTCATATGCTCTTAGTGAGGTTAGTGCCTGAGGTTAGTAACCTCTCAGCTCTGTCAGAGGGCCGACTTACGTGGCCTCTCTCTGGCTCACTCAAAATCAATTAGCCACCCCTAGTAGTGGGGCTGTGATCGGCATTTATGTCCAAACTGTAAATAAGCAATACACCTTTCTCAGACACAACTGCTTACAAAATCTACATCTGTTTACACCTTTAAGCAATTTAAAAGCTGGTTAAGTTTCCAGATAGGTATTTTGCAATATACAGATAAAGTAATGAAGCAGAACTTGATGCTCAGTCAGAAGACCTCTGCAAGAACAGCTTCCAGGCAGTAAAAATTGAAAGGCATTTCTGGTTTGATAGAAGCCTTTCCAGTTCACAGAATGCTTGGTTCCTACCCAAGATTAATCCTTTGTTGTTGTTCTTATTGTGTTTATACACAAGCTTTTTGCCAAAGTTCTCATTTCCAGTTGTTCTTTGGGATGCCCAAATGGGGCAAATCTGTTCTTGCTTTATGCCTTTAAAAATACACCAGAAACAAACTCGACCCCATATATTTAAAACCTAAACCCAATTTCTCCTTCCTCACCATCTTATTCACTGCCATGTCCTATGACGTCCCGTTTTCATCTGCTTTTTCACCATCACCCAAGTAATGGATTAAGACTTTCATGCTATAGAAATTGATTTTACAGCTGAACCAACTCCCCAGTAAACTCCCTCTAATAGGCTTGCGTGAAAAGGGCTATCATTTAGTTAGGAATCCAGATGCCTTGTTCCCTGCGTGGATGTTTAATTCATGTGACTGTGTTTAATAAGGGAAAGTCAGTTTCCCTACAGTTCATTTGTTGCCTTTATACAGTCAACAAAACGGCAAAAGTAAAGATGAAGGTTGACAAAAGCCAAGTTGCTCCCTTGTTGTTGCCTTTTAGTAAATAAGATTGTCAAATCTAACAAAGGCAAATTGCACATCAAGTGACCCTGGCATATGAAATTACTAACACATGATTGTTATTAATTGTTAACTTGAAATGCAAAGCTGTAGTTCATTATCTTTTATAATCAATTCAATTTCTTTCACTGACCCTAGATTGCAACGACCGTTTGGTTGAAAGCTTACACATATGATAAAACAAAATGTACCAAAATAGAATAAAATCATTTAAAAAGAAAGGTGATATATAGGTGGATGTTTGTGGCAAAACAATGGATTAGCCACACTTCAGTGTGCCTTTCATATCTATGCAAGAAGAGTAGCTTAAATTCTTCCAGGGGAAAATATATTTAATTGAGACAGTCCATGTAATACATGAATGTGTTGCAAAGATTAGAATGGGGAGGATATTTTAGGCTAATTTGCCTATTTGGATGGCACTACCTTCTTCCACAGAAGTCAGCAGAAGATTTATCTCAGAGCATGAATTGGCACTGAATACCCTTTGCTACTTTTTCCAGGCACAAAACCAGTAACCTCTATAACCTGGCCAAACTCCAAAGTGGGTGATTACATTCTGCTGCTCTAATTTTTCCATGCAGGCTCAACTAGATCTAGCATCATTTCGTGATGGGTAGTGTTACTGCGAACAAGCAAGTCCCTTTTTGCAATGTTACTGTTAATTTTTTCCTCCTTGCCTCCCAATTTGTTAGCTTTGCCATATCAGCTGTAGCTTGTTTGAAGGTCAGAACTGTTTGGTTCTGGATCACAGCTTTCATTAAATTGAGGGACCATGAATATGTGCAGTGCTACAATGGTAACTACAGCTTTATATCACTTTTACTCTTATACCATATCCATAGCGTAGCCTGGCTATAAAAGGAAATGAAATGTATTTTTTTTCCCAAGCACTCACAGAGTTATATTTTTGTCAAATATCATATCATGCTGGTCTTGAAAACCAAAAGTCAATAATACAGCCCAAAATTACAGGGCATTCTAAGTGTGTTTAAAAATCAATTGCAAAGTTGCTTGTAAAGTAGCATATCGCTTAACTCTACATTGCATTAAAACAATAATTTATTAGACTTTAAAGAGATTATGATTTCCATGGCCATACAATCTAATAATTTTTGGAAGAGGTTTGCACATCATTGCCAGCGGAATTCATTTAATTCACACTTAGTATTAATCTGAGACATTACTTTTACTTAGAAAAAACATTGACTATAGATAGTTGCTTATTGAGTAACTTAAGCGAGTTAGAAATACCAGCACTGAAATCACTTGGTATAAGCATTTCTATCTAAAATAGAGGATGCAGTGCTTCTTCCCCAGCATGGTCTCAAATAAAACAGCACTAAGTACAGTCTGGTGGGTTGCCCATATCGAGAAGCCACACAGATTCTAGCTCTGGGGACATGAATTGATTGTTTATTCCCAGCACCACAGGGTTAAATGAAATGCTATCACAGTAATTTATTATTACAAGAAATGGTGATGGCTTAGATTAAGAAGATTTGTCTGTCTCTTCTAATTAAGGTTAGGTTCTTAAGAAGCTTTACTATCCTTTGAAGCTACAGAGACTAAAATTAGGACTCTGATTCTGTTCAAAATGTCACTAGGTTGGTCCATAATCCTGTAGTGATTGCGGCAAGGGATCATTCTTCCAATGTTGTGATTCCTTGTTTGGAAACTAGTGAGCTAGGACAAGACCCCGTGAATCAAAGTCTGAGTAGTCTATTAATCAGCAACAAGTTGGTGCTGCAGAACATCGTAATGTTCTTGCAGTGACCCCTTGAAGACTGCGTAACAAACAGGGAGCTGGCGAAGAAATCAGCTGTAAGACACAGTAAATTCTATTGCAGGCAGAGAGCAAATGGTGGCAGTAAGTGGGCTGTGTACAGGGGGTGAAGAAATGGTTGGGGGGGAGATCTGTTTTCAGGCTGTAAGTGAAGTCATTTTACAGTGGTGTTTATAATCCTATACACGGCAATAGCATCTCAGGACCTAGTGTTCTCACTTGGTGCTCTACAGACAATGTTAAAACCTAAAAGCAATAGATGGATCACTTCCAACTTTTCTCATTATGCCCTTATTTATACAGCATACAATGAACCTGTGGAGCTCGCTGTTACAGGACAGTAACAGCAAAAGTGTAAATTACGTTCAATGTTTAGCAAATTTTAAGCTTGGATTCAGTTTTCCTTACAGGTTGGTAGACCTAGAGTAGCTGTACCTAAATTAGTAAATTACAGAAACGTAAAACTGGTGAAATGGAAAATCAGACCCACTTATGAAGAACAAAACCTTCTTTGACAATATTTAGTATGATAAAACATTCAGAGGAAAAGAAGCCTTGATACTTCAAGTCACAAGTCAGTTTCTAGTTGGCTGGGATTAGGAAAAAAATTTCTCCAATACGTAAGACACTAAATTATTATTTTCTACAGGATGCCTTTCTCTAAATGATTTGATGCTGCATTGCAGCTGAGACAAAACTGGGAGAGCATGTGGACCAACATTCTTCTGCAGTATGCCGGGTCTTACGTACCTGTCAGATAGGACAGCGTGCTGGGAGCCACTAAATTTCTATTCAGCAGCTCACAGAGGGAATCATCTTTTAATTCAGTTTAGTGAAACAAAGCAAGTTTACATGTATATCGGTATGGACGAACTGCAAGTTCTAAGTCTCGGGTATCTGACTGAGAAAATCTCTCATCAATGAATTCAGTAAGAGTCTACAAGCTTTTACTGATAAATCTGCTGAGCAATGAATGAAACTCAGTTGCTCTGTTGGACTGTGTTTATAAACCTGTCATGTTACAGTGCATCTCTTTTGCTTTGATATTCTTTTCCTCTTAGATTAACTCTGTCATGTTTTTATAGATGAGAGCATCCAATTACGAAGCAATTATCAATGCCCTACTATTCAAATAACCACTCACAAAGTCTGAACAGCACATACTCATGAAGGAACTCCTGAGTAAAAACTATTTGCCCCACAGAGTCTTGTGATTGGTTTCAAATTATGAGTAAAAGGGCTGAAAAAGATTACAGGAGGTCACTTAGTTCAGCCCCCTTTATTTACTCCTACTCAGATTAAGATAGGGATGAATGATATCTACTTTTTGTGAACAAAGAAGCAGGGTGGTTCACAAAATATTTCTTACTGTGAGAGAAGGGTACAATCGTAAACAATATAGTTTGCTTTGAGCAATTCAGTCTACTTCAGTGTGTCCAAAACGTGGTTTCTATTGCAGCAGGCATGAGCAGTTCCTGTGTGACACTGGCCGAGGTCCTGTGGGCAAAAGGAAGCCCTTTGGAGGAAGAAGAAATATGGGCACTTTTGTACGTGGCCACAGTGCAGCTTCTGGAGGACCTTCACAAAGGTGAGGTGAAAAGTATCTTCTTATAGTTCTTACCGTTGGAAATTCATTCTTGAGTTATTTTAGCTCTTTTGAAGGTTTGGGGTTTTTTTTGAGATAAAAAGCATTAATGGTAATAATAGCATATTGCTAATAAAAATGAGAAAACTTTCAGTGCTGCTGGGATTTTGTGCAGACTGCTCTGCCTACATAAGAGATCTTCACACAGTTGTTTTTTTTTCCCCAAATTACACATCAGATATTAATTCATCTAAGTACAACTACACACAGTGGAATGGGACAGAAGAGTCCTTCGTAAAGTCCGAATAACATACACACACAGAGAGTGCAGTGCCAGCCAGGATCATGTCATTCCCCTACTGATAGAGGGGTACAGGCAAATGCACATGGCTCCTCATCCAGCTAGTAAGAGATTTTTATCCTTGATGATAATAATGTGACTTATCATAATGACTAGGCACTAGGCAAGTCATCATCATGGATGCTTGCCAAGCAGGCCAGCTGTACAAGAAAGTACAGCTGAGTAACCTGTCACATTTTGAGAACTGTTTATGACAACAGATATTCCTTTTGAGGGGAGATGAGACAAGATGTCTTCTTACCTCATGAGCATGTAGAGTCAGAATACAAAATACTGAAAACAAATGATGTGTAACTTCTGCTATAGCTAGAGGGGTGAACTTTTATTACCAACTAGTTTTTAATGGACTGGAACACTACAGCAGGTTAACTATACCATTAGTTCTCTGTTATCTAGTGTAACAAGAGGATAGAACAGCCCAGACAAGACAGGCACCAGAAATGTGCAAAGGAGTGCAGCCCAGATATACCCACCTGGATAGATTCAGCTCAGGTCCATCATAGCTAATTAACTCGGTGCCAGACACTAAGCTGACAATATGCTCTCCTGATCTCTTGTTTAAAAAGAAAAAAAGACTACTTGTTAGATGTCTATTGAATTGAGATAATCAGACTATGTTCCCTATGCTGCACCAGATAAATTTAGGATATTATGATCAGAAGATGAAGAGTAAAACAAGAGGAAGCAGGGATGTAGAACCAAGCTGGTCTACAGGTCAAGTGCAAGGCTGCTCAAACCTGTCTTTAGAGAGCTCAAGTCCAGAAATTATGCCAAGATGGATTCATCCTGAAGCTGAATCCCCAGTGCTCCAGTTTCCTGGAGGGCAGCAAAGGTGAACTGCCTCTGCATAGGATCATCCCAGTTTACCAAGGCATATCTCTGGCTCTACGTCTCCTACTTACAGCTATATTGCTTCTGGAATCAGCCTCTTCTCAGGGCTAGTACTGCTGCATTTGTGCTGCACTGTGCTTGATGTAATAAATCCCGCTAGACCTGATAATGGTCATCACCACTTGCTATAGCAATATTTCCAATGTGTTTGGGCACTGACTGGTTAGGCAGGTAGGCTGACACGTTGGCTGGCCAACGTTACAGAAGGCCAAGTAATCTTCATCGAGGCTAAAGTACAAGCAGGCTACCTGTTTCTAAAATAGACACATTTCCCAGCATGTGCTAACTGTATTTGCATATAACACTACAGAAAATGGGGAAGGAGCAAAAGAGAAGGCTAGAAGTAAATGCCACAACTGTTGCAAATACCAGTGGTCCGTAAGTCTTGAATCTCTGGGTCCTCTGGCTATACAAACCTCCTAGGTGTATACGAGTTCCCAGATTAACATTTTACCCATTTTTACCATCCATTTTCCTGATGTAAAGGTCACCATGCAGAAGAACTAAGTAGATATTTTTTAATATATAATTTTTAAAAGCAAAAATACCAAAGCATTTAGGGCATATTTCTGAACTCTTTTCCTACAGATCTGAATGGTCTCTGTTCTCACAGTCTAGACTGAAGAGAGTGGTTCAACAGCCAACATATTTTTTAAAAATTACCTATATTTCCAGGGACCCTATATCTAAATATTGCCATAGTTAGTGCAGCTTTTCCTCTTTCTAAAGTAAGCAGATTGAACTTAGATGCTTTTTATCACGCTTTTTTAATGAATATTTTAACCAAATCCCTTGGATATGTTTGGTCAAATTCATTTAAGATATTTATGCAAGTGCGGAGTGTTTGCAAAAGACTGCACATCCTCATGCTTCCACTCTTGCTTCAGACCACTGGGACCAACATCAGTGGATCTCTGCAGTGATATTTTTAAAGAGTACTCAGCCATTTACAAGAAGAATCCAGTGCATTGCCGAGACACCTAGATTTTTTCAGGGAACAGAAAGGGCAAGCTGTTCCCTAAGGGACAGGGAGCCCAGACCCAAGCACTGTTTACAAGCGTGGCAGGGCAGGGGCTGCCAGCCAGGCCCTTACCCCACAGTACCCAAATAGGCCAAGCGGGGCAGGTCTGGGGTTGACCACTGGAGAATCCAGATCACCACATGAGTTTGTGGTGACAAAGCAGATCCGAGATCAAGCTGGGAAGCTGAGTCGGGACCAGGTCTGGTGTGGGCAACCAGGGTCACATAGCACCAGGCAAGTCCACAGTGACAAGGCAAATCTGAGGTCAGGCTGGGAAGTCAGTCTGTGGGTCAGGATCAATGAGGTCCACAGTCAGGCAAGGCATGGCCGTGGCTGAGCTGGAGACAGGTACTACTACACCATACCTCAGGCAGGGACTTAAGGCCCCAGGCTGAGCTTAACTGGAGCCTGGGACTATGGGCAGAGGATGGAGGTAGGTCCCAAGTGAGGCTGGTCAGGGCCATTAAGGCCTATTAGTGTCAGCTTTAGAAGTCTACATTTATAATTTAAAACCACTTTTGTTTGAAGTATCCCCTCTCTTTTAATAGAACTGACATGCAATGAATGAGTGACTGAATGTGAATAATGCTAAAATATCATGGCTGTTCACATTACTGGTAGAATCTAGTCTAAGTTTTCATTTGGAGAGTTTTCATATTTGCATTCTGGTAAAAAAACCTCCCAAAGTTCAGGTTAGTTGGAAATTATGTTTCCACTTAAAGAAAAGCTTAGTAGTTTGTAGCACTGGGACTTGGGAATTTGTTTCTACTGCTACCTCAGCTTCTGTTGACTGACGCGGTGTAGTCATCAAAGCTGGGCTCTGCATCAGTTTCATCACCTGTACAATGGAAATAAAAAGATACTGACTCCTGACACTGACTTTCTGGCAAAATAACATGGCTTTGCTAGACACAATATACTGAAATAAAGGTTACTAAAATGCAGAGCTGACTAACTATAAGCAGCATACAGAACAAAAAAATATCACCACAGGGAAGAGATTTGTACCATGATCACGCAACTTAATGAAAGCTAACTTCTAACTTGAAGCCTTTTGCAAATGCCAGCTTCAAAGTATTCATGCTTTATTGGAAGGAGTGTTCTACTCTTCTGATATTCTCTTGTGCTTTGCATAAAAAGATCTACCGAAAACATCAAGATCTCCACAATCTGCACATGGGAGGTAATTCTGCCTTTCCTTAGCCTTCAGAAATCCATTGAAATCAATATATTGTTTATATGTCTGAAATGATGTGAGAGAGAAATCAAAACTTTAACCACCACTGAATTCCAGCTCACAAAATCAGCCAGGCATAAGTGAACACACCTAACGTGCACGACTTCTGTGAACATCTCCAGGAAACCTCAGTGATGGGTTTGGCTATGCAGGTGAGACACCAGCAATATGATTTTCTGAGTGCAGTGAATTCAGCGCTAAGAACTCCATTATCTTCCTCAACATTTTTCAGACCCTGCCATCTGTGTGATTTGTCCATGGTCAGTACTACTGTCTGCTGAAGGAAATTTGTCCTTCCAAAACAATGCATCTCAGACAGAAGCTGTCCCTTTCAGTGCACCGGAATTGCTCCACAGACAAAGTAAAAACCAGCGCATTGGACTAACAAAGGTGAGGTATATTACAAAATAAAACTTGAGAGTACCTCATGAAGACAAGATTGTGGGTTTTAATGCAGCATATCTACTGTCAAACTCTATTTCTAATAACACTAAGCAAATTAGGCTACAGTTAGAAATATTTACATGTATCTTGCAGCTCACCATTAGATTAGCATGCATGTCAACTTCAAAATCAATTTTGAACATCAGTCCTCAAAGTCTGCAGAAAAGTAGTATTTGTAAAGGCCCATGGAAAGGAAGAATATTTCTATAAGCATGATGTTTGACCAGCTATGGTAACTGTAATCCCAGAAGTAGCAGGACTGTAGTATCTATACAATCAGAGGGTGGAAGTACTCCCAGGAAGTCAGAAATACGTTCAGCTTTGTTAACAATTCACTTTTCTTCTCCCTGGCAAGACAGTATGATACAACACTCAGGTACCTAGAAGTTTAAATACCATCAGTGCATAATTCCCTCAGGCAGAACACAGTATTTTCAGACTCCTACATAACTGATCACTTAGATGCTATGCAGAAACATAAAGCTTGGGAATAGTTGGCCCTTACTCCAGTAATCCTCTTCCTGGACATGACTGTCAGTCAGTCCCACAGGTAGGAGAGAGCTTTAATCACCAATGGGAGAGCTTCAAAACTAAAGGAAGGAGTTCAAATTTCTTTTCCTACTTATGGCATGATTGGATAGAAGGCAGCCTGGCTCAGCTCCTCGAGCTGAACAGTACTTAGTGCATGCTATCTATAAGTCCATAAGACAAGAGTCAGTATTGTACTTTCATGTATGTTTCCTCTAGTCTTCCTCTAGTTATTTAAAAAATTAGCTGTCTGGCTTCTGCCATTTTGTGACAAAGATACCAAAAAATGGTCTCTCTAGTACAAGGCTTTTCTGTATTTAATGTTGACTTCATAAAGGGTTTGCCTTTCTGTTTTGACAGATGTTGGTGTATTCCTTAGGAATGACCCTCTATTGGTCAGTAGACTACCAGGTTCCTCCAAACCAGGCCAGTAACACAAACATTTTTGTTTTCTTTTATTCCATCTTATATTAGTAGTTTCAAAGATTGAGAGGCATAATCTGAAGTCTCAATAGGAGGGGCTTTATGTTCTGGACCACTAGAAAGAATTGGAAAGCTTGTGTCAAGGTCCAGTCTTCACCAAAAATCTAAATCAGGAATTTAGTTAGGCCTCATCTTTACTTTCCTTTTTGTTTTCCTTTTTCTTCAAAAACCAGAATTGTTCCCATTAAGTTGAATTGTACCTTGCTTTTAAGAGTGAAGATTATTTATTCCAAGACTGTAATAAGGAACAGGCTGCCCAGTGAAGTGGTTGAGTCACGATCCCTGGAGGTATTTCACAGATGTGTAGATGTGGCACTTAGGGACATGGTTTAAAGATGGACTTGGCAGAGTTAGGTTTACGGTTGGACTCGATGATCTTAAAGGTCTTTTCCGTGACAGGAAGGGCCAAAAGAAAAACATCATGTTGGCATGACTGTGGTGCTCTGTACATTTATGTGCTTTTTCAAAGCATGGGATGCTAGAATAAAAATAAATAACTCTCCTTATTTCTGCATAAATTCTACCACCATCTCTGCTAGTTGAAATTTTGCATTTCTTGCTTACTCAGAATCCTTTCAAAGATTTATAGCACACATTTTGCTTAGTTTCTATATCCATGCCTTTGATTGCATGGTTTTGATTTGGACAGCACAAGCTTTTAGTAGGTTTAACCTCCCTCTCATGGGTATACATGGTCTAAGAGAGAAGGCACTATAAGCTAAATGACTCTAAAATTTAAGTATTCGGTCTATATAGCAACAGTTTTGGGTGGTACAACCCTTCACCTTTTTGAAGCTAATGCTGCCACATATCTTACTTGCATGAATCTTTAAGATTCACAGTCTAATTAGCAAAGCTGTGGAGCAGACTGAACTGTTGTCTGGCACCAAGAAGTCCCTATACAGGCTGCTGCTGACCCTCCTTGTAGATGCCAGTTTCTTCCAAGGCTATCCTGGAAGAATCTATCCATTAGAGGCTCCATTTAGTGCTGTTATGCTGCCTGTCTGGAATTTTCCCAAAGCCTAAAGGAATTCATGCCTTTAGATGGAAATGGAAAGTGCCCATTTCTAACTCAGGGTGAAAGGCTTACAGAAAGTCCTTGTCCCAGTTTACACAGGATTTCAGATCACTGGGAGATACCATTTAACAGCACCTCTGTTTTGACTCAGTCCCTCCAGCTGAGTGACCAGCTACACACGCTCTTGCTGACACTATGTGAAGATCTGCCACATAAAAGACTTTCTCCTGAATCAATTCTGGAAGCATGTGAGGCACATCAGAAGGAATCTGCTGCCTTACCAGCGAATGGTTACATAAAGAAAATGGTCCAGCTTGCTGTGGGAAGTGTCAGTGAGGTAGGTACTACTGTCATACTCTAACCATCTCCTTTTCTTTAGTGAGAGAGGTGAGCAGCGACATGGGATACAGGTGAGCAATTGCTTGAAATTAATGCTTGTATGAATTAAAGAAGTGAGATTTGGTTCTAGACTTCTAAGCAGGAAATTGAGTGGGCATGTGTACAAGCAAATGAGGGAATGAAGCCATCTCTCTCACCACTCTTACACTCCTGGGAAATTATACAAATCCAGCTTTTGCACTTACAGTATCTTCATTGCTTTGGTTAATACTGAAGCAATCATAACCTTTACAGAGACTTCATATTATCCAAAGGAATGGACTTTACACAAGAGAGAAGATTTCCCCATTGCCACTCTGGTCTCAGACTTTCTGTGTGAAATCAAAAAAAAATCACATTTACATCATATTGAGAATTTCATTTACCATCCTTGAGTGGAGCTGAACATTCGCCATGCAATCAAGCCTGACCACGTGAAGTCTTTAATAAGTAAGCACCTGAGTCTTTTTCAAGATTTGAAATATCAACAAACATTTTTGTTGACAAGCTGCAAATATCTTTTTTTCTGCTTTCAACCAGTATTCATTAAAATTCTGAGATGACCTTTTCCCTTGCACTCTCTATTATTCTACCTCCCACTGTAACAGAGGGTATCCTCTCTAAAACAGGTAGTATGAGAGCATGATGCCATCAAAACTCAATCCTGCTTTGTGTTAATCTGAGAAGATGAAGTTGCTTATACCAAGCAAATAGGCAGCCTCTGACAAGCAGAGGGCAAGGATCACTTCAGCATGAGAGTCCAAAGTCCACATATCATATGACATTGACTTGCAGTACTACTGTCTTCTAGGTAGAGCGGGTGGCCACCGAAGACAACACAGCCTCTCAGCTTAACAGAAGTCATGTGATAAGGAAAAGACTGCATGAGAAAATATCGGACACCTCACCACTGTCCTCCCAGATGAATTTTCACCAAGGTAAAGAAAGATTTATAATCTGAACTGTCTAATAAGGATACAGCCAGCCTTCTCTGAGTCTTTCCTAAGCTAGATGAATTGTTTAATTTCACGCTGTAGTGATTACATGTGGTGTCGGATACGATATTTATTGCTTTACATATAAATGACTTATTAATGGAAAGACACTAAGGCAAGACGGCAGGGTTTCTGTTCCTTATTTCCTCAAAGGACAGTAGTCTGAGGGCTGTGAAGCAATGATAACAAATCAGCTTGCACAGATTTGACTCTTAAAGCACTTTGCATAAAACCTGTGCATATAAATCAAAACTATTTCCAAAACTGCTTTTGTACTTTGTATACTCCAGTGTATTTTCGAAGGCAAAGAGTGGGATTCTGTGAAGTTATCCTGTTGCCATTAACAGGATTCATCCTTCATATTTGAGTACTCAAGCAAAAATTTGTGGTTTCTTTTTTATTTTAGTTCCATTTTTCTATTCAAGAGATGTTTTATAAATTCACACATGGATTGGTGGAGTGATTTCAAGACACAAGGCCAAATTCTGCTCACTGTAAAAATAAACCAGCAGATAGTAATTTCACATTTCATTTGACTAAGATCAAGATTTTATTATCTCTCAGAGTAATCCTCTAACTGTAACTAAATGTGGACTTCAGGTTCAGATAGTTTTTTCTAGTCTTCATATTGTACTGTTCACTTCAACAGAAATCTCTGATTTTGGGGCAAGGGGAAGGTTGGCTCAAGCTATACAGGTTTTTTTTGGGTATGCTCAACACTAGGTATATGAACAATCCAATTCCTATTCAGCAAATTACATATACATCCCATTAACCTCAGCTAGAATTAAACACACGCTTAAATACCTGTGTAACATTTCTATTAGGTATTATTGGTCATAAGAAAAGGAGATTCTTCTGGAAATCAGAAGACAAATATAGACAAAACACAGACAAACCAGCTGTCAAATCATATTGGCTCACTCATTCAGAAGCTAAGCGTACAGATTCACACTTGCATAAGCTGGTGAAAACTCTGCTGCTGCTGAAAGGGATGATCCCATCTTCAGCCCCCTATTAGCCACAAATTCCTGCTATTTTCCTGCTTCTGGTTCTAGTGACTATGTATCTGTGGTGATCTCTGTGTTTTCTAGGGATTTTGGTCACATGGTTTACACTAGCTTAAGGACTTCAATGAATCAGGATATTGATTCCATTGAGAACATGTAAGCTTCACTTTTCAAGGCAGCATTCGATTTCATTCTTTTTTTTTAAATTAAAAATGATCACCTTCAGAGATTCTGGAAAGGGACAAGAGACAGTGCAATCAAAGTAAAGTTAGGGTGCAACAGAAATATGTACTTATTAATGACTTAGGATGACCCCTTAATGGAATTTCTGCAGCTGACTCTGGTAGTGGATTGTGTCTGGGCACTGTCCATCCAGCACACAGAAAGAATACTTTATAGATGAAGGTTTGGGGCTTCAGAATACAAGGAAGGAGAACTTTGCAGGTTATCTGCACTTTGCAACCTTACAGTTAAACATGCAAAATAGAATTAATATATTAGAATGGTTTTATTTGGAATGGATGAGGAGAACTATGACAACTGTTTTGTGTCAGAATAAGATTATGAAAGTAATAGAATGAAGTTACCAAGCTTTCCTTGATCCTTAAAGAATTGAAGTCAGGGTTAGAAGACAGACAGACATGGACTGTATAAAAATTAGTCAAGCCAAATGTTATTTACGTCATCATGCAGAGACAACGATTTATAATTAAAGCATGTGATTCACCATACTTCCTTTCTGTTTCCAGACAAAGGGTCCAGATTAATGAATTATAGCTGGTCAACAGAAGATTACAGACAACTCTCTGTAGACTACAGTGACTCTAATAGTATTTCTGAAAGTACGTCTTTGATACTGTCTAACCGAGGACACAGAAGAGGTAAGATTTTCCTGAATGATATGTTTATGATTTATGTACTCACTTCTTTTGTCCCCTGACATATGACACTACACATGTACGGTCAGGTGATAGCTGCTCCCATGCACTGGTGATTATGTGACTAGGGAGGTATATTTGTGCTAAACTGCAGAGAAGAAAGATCCTTTTATACTGGATTCCTTTTCATTTGTGTCCTACTGTAAAGCTATATGTTTCCTGGTTACCATGCAGCACCATCACCTTTTTCTTGCTTTATGCCCCCTTTGCCAGGTGAAGGTGTTCAGCAGATCACAGACAAAGCCTGAAAGCATGTTTCTGGCACAGGAGGTCATGAAACACATGAGAAATGGTGGAGCTATCTCACAAATGCATATGATGGGCAATGTCAAGATGGCAGCACTGAGATCAGTTGAATCTATGAACAATATGTGAGACTTGAATGGTGGGGATTAATGTTTCTTCAAGCCCATTTGAAAAACAAAGGGACTAATTCTGAAATCTAAAAGGAAAAAAACAATGAAACAACCCTTTGTTTTCTTCGCATTTTTGTCCTAAAGCCATTGTGTATTTCCTGCTCAGCGTGTTGTTTTCATTGTGCTAAATGTCAGGTTGCAATGCTGCTCTTCTGATTTACTTTGTCCAGAGATATTAGAGTTGAAATTTTAGCTCCACTTTCAATCCTTTTATGGTGGGAACAGCATGAAAGAAACTGTTTGGGAGAAGATCCATTCACTGAAGACACTGTGGTAGACATCAGTCAGGGTCCTTCCCAAGCCACTTAAATCACAGTGTAAGGGGATACTATGAAGAAAAGAAGGGAATTCAGCAGGAAGCTGTGCACATGTATCTTCATGTTTAAATTGGAATCTGACCTACAGACACCTAGACAGGATGTTCACACTGCCCAAAAGCAAAAGTTTTCTGTTGCCAAATGTCATCACCGTCTCCTAAAAAACCCAAGCTTACCATGCCAGTTCCCCATTCTCAGACTCCTGCCCATTTCTATTCTCCATTCCACAGTTACCCACCCTCCCATCTGCTTTCAGGCTTTATTTCCATCCTGCCTGGGGCACTTCTCCTGAGCTTCCAGATCCAGAGGTGGAAGTTTACTCTGTACTTTGAAGTTTACTTCCTCCCTCTATGAGCCTCCATGAGAAATTAAGTACAGGGTCCTCCTGTGGCATGGATTCAAATGTGCTCTGTGAGCATGCGTGATTTTTTTATCCCAGAATTTTCTTCCCTAAGGCAATAACTCTAGCATCCACTACATCAGTTATGATGCAACAAGGTATGCACTGACTGGTTAGTTCACCGATGCCATAAATAACAGAAAACTGCTGAGTAGTCCTTGCTTTTCCTCACTGGGGAGCATTAATTTGGGTTTATGATATCCAGATGCTGATTGCCATGAAATTTGTAGGAACTTATTAACCACACTCTTCCAAATTCAAAAGGTTTAAAATTTACTAGGCAAAAATGAAAGGTATAGAGCATGACCTCAAGGGACTAATTTCCCTAGGAAAAATGGCAAAAAAACTGCGTGCACACTGCATTATCATAAGTCTGTCAGGAGATAATTCACAGAAAGTGAATATATCCTGGGAAGAAAAACCCCAGGTAATAGCCTCTCAGCCCCAAGGATGAGGAAGGTGAGGTTACTCATGCAACTGCTGTTGATACTCTCCTCCTGAAAGGCACTGCTTTTCTGAAGCTCCAGAATTGCAATCAATATCAGCAACAATAAAAACTTGAGATTGCAGCTTCTCCCTATGTGATGCATACGTGTTAGTCACATACCTAGTGGCACATAGTGAATGTAAACTCGGGAGCTTGTTTTGTAAGTCCTTTCTAAAAAAATTTTGATCGTAAACATGACAAAGGCTCATTCCGGTGCTTTCTGCGTGTCGCAGAGGTCTCCACTGAAACATCAGTAGCTGTTCATACTCAGATTTTGTAAGACAAAACTCTAAAAATACAGAAAACACAGAATGTGAGAGCTTGTTTGCCGCAGACATTCTTTCATGAGAAAATGTATTAGAAAAATGCATTCTTCTCTGAAAAGAATTATTACCATCTAGTAGAGTACCATTATTGAGGGAGATCAATATCTCTATCCAGACTCCATTTTAGAAGCTCATTTAACATATAATAAGTTAATCATCTACAGGAACAAATTATTTCAGGGCCACATGTTACTTAAACATCAGGATTTGTGTTGGATTTATGATCAAAGCATGGCAGTCTGGCCACTGACACTAGCCAACTTGTCCCACTGACATAACAGCTGAGACAGAAAACTGTATGTGCTTGTCAAAGTACATTTATACAATTATGTGAAACCTATAGTGTAAGCAGAGAATTTTGCAAGGCTTTCTCATTAAAAAGCATGTAGTTTCAGAACACAGGACTGAATCCTAACTTTGGTAACTAGCCCTGAGTATTTGGCTTATCTCAAATCTCACATTTTGTCACTACCATCTGCAGCTTGAAAAAACATGTTTATGTATATTTTAGCAACGTGACTGTAGATTTTCTCGTTTTAAAATTGCAATTTGTGGTTCGTACACTAGAATCCAATGTCATGTTTTCATGTTAGAATTCAGAGTGAGGTCTCAGAGTGTAGTTCATGGATATTTTATCTGGACAAAAATCTGACCTAAATGATTACTTCCACATCACTCATCACCTCTATCATTCTGCCTATGTAATAGTTCGATATGCAATTCTTCAGATAAAATAAAAGAAATGATCCAAGTGAAGAAAAAATTAAGATTGCCAACCTTCCCTAAAGGATTTAAAACATTTCTGCTGCTAGAAGAAATGCTCATGGAACTATCACTTGCATAACCCTTTCTGGTTCTACCTCTAAATTTCAGCCTTCATGTATTCGGACAAAGCAATGCCTAGCCCTTCTGTAGCAGGCAAGATGACTGAAGGTGAAAAATTATGCAAATCTTATCTTCTAATGACTCTTAAACCTTCCTATACTCCCACCAGATTTTTATGATGTAAAAACTTTCACGATATACTTAACGTAGCAAATAACCAATGGAATATTTACAAACAGTTTTCATTTCAGTGATTTTATATCCTACTCTGATTAAGCCAGAGAAGTTTCATGGATTTTTCACCCTGATTTTATGCCTGGAAATAGAATAACAAAGAATACTAGCAGTAATTTTTGAAGAGCAAAAACTGTTTCATAAATTACCCCCATACATATGGAAATAACAGCCATTGTACCTACACAGTTATTTTCTAAATTACATTCACATGAAGGGTTATGAAGAGGAATTAACAATAACTACAGAAATGGGAATACTGCTGGTGTAGTATTCACTTAGCCTTATCAAATAGCCATTTATCATGGCCAAGCAAGAACACAAGAGAGGAAGTAAACCAGTCTAAACTTCCTCCTTCTTGTAATTGTGCCAAGATCTGATGCTGAGTGCTGCTACAATTGCTTCAGTTGTGAAACTTGCTTTATTCATTTCAGGGAGAGTTCCACAGACGCACAGGTCATGGGACCCCACCCTTAGTGGGTCAAGGACACAAAGTAGCTACAAGCTCTTCATAAACAGGTAATCAAAACCTATATTCCTAAAAGATGGAAGCTGTTTTATCACCAAGTGAAGCAGACAACCAATGTGGCAATGTCATTATCAGAAAATCCCTGGATCACCATCTGAAGCAGTTTTGATAATAGATACTGTTTATGTAGAATTAAAGTGCACCTAGACTTGGTTTGGCTCCAGGCAAAACAGTCCAAATGCTCTAGTGAGAAGGAGCTTGGGCCCTAAACAATCCATACAAAACAAGCACATTGAAGTTTTCCACCTTTACTCTTTACCACTGTGTCCTGCCAGTTGTCACTGGCCTCCCAGAACAGCTGTCCCACAATCAGACAGGTAACAACAATAGCTCACTGTGGCTGAAACAACTGGGAAGAAGCTTCACAGAGAGTGTGGAAGGGAAAAACCCGTTGAAAAGGCATGACCAGTCATTGCTTTCACTGGCAAGGCATTCTGCAGAGTCTGTAATTGTCTACATTCAGATTTTGGATCTGGTCTTGCCTTGCTGTCACATTAGCAGAGGCTTGATGTGTTCTGGAGTGTTTATGACAGACCATGTATATGATCCATCATTTTTAGTGGATTATTTGCATTTCCATCTCAGTTCTTAGATTGATTTGTCTCACTTGTGTCAACCATATCCAGCCCTGTGCCACCACTTTACTAAAGAGTTATAGGTAACCCAGGGACACAAGCAGTAAAGACCTCTGCTCTGTCATGAGGATTAGCCTCATTTCAGCCATGGCATCTACAGCAGCCCTGTACATAGACAAGGAAAGCTGAGAATTGTACAACCGATACTAACTCCTTTTCAAAAGCCAGGGAAACACCACTGCTGCCAAACAAGATTTTTCTACACTAGGTGTTAGCATAGTGCAGCTGTAATTATGGCTGTTTCCAAATGAAGAGGAGATGTAAGTACTGTTAACCTCTAGGCACCACAAAGACCAGAAACCCATGGTTAAGCACCATGTAATCCCTACAGACATTCCATTTAAATTGAAATCCTGACCCAATTAAACAGGAGTTTCTTCTTTTAACCATGACATGAGTAATTCAGGCCCACAGGAAATACTCCATTTAGATCAACTCCCAATTAAATGTATCCCAAGTAAACAGTTTGAATTTCCTGATAAATCAGCCATGATAATCTGAGCGATGTAAGATACCCCAGTGCACCTCTAAACATACAATAAGAACAAAAACTACAAGCAGGTTGTGGGATAGTGGCAGCTTTTGTAAAGAAAGAACTCTCTGTCTACCTGTCTAACTACACACACACATACATATCTGTGTGTATATACAAACCTCTATATATGCATCACACACCTGGAAATGATATCAGTAACAGAATATTTATTTAGTCAATATTTTGGAGCAATTGCCATGCCTCTGACTACCAACCTGGGTATCATCCTGATATCCTTGATCTAAAATCATGCTGCCAAGAAAATGTTCCACTCCTCTGCTGAAAGATGAACTCTCCTCCAAATTTCCAGCAAGCTCTTTCCCATAGAACTTCAGGGACTTTTGGCTGCAAGCATCTGCAGTTGAATTTCTACCAAGGTCATCATAGTATTGTAAGAACCATGACAACAGTGAAGTTGAAATAATTAGTCTGTAAACCACTGATTTCCCATACAAGAGGACAATCAACACAAAACCTAGTGATGCATTTACTATCTATAAAGCTTACTAGTATCATCACGCTCACTTCTGTAAGCAGTCCAACTCACATAATATACATCTCATAAAATTAAGCTTGTAAGTATATGCAGGGCTATGGCCTATATATAAAGAAGACACAGCTGTCAAGTCTGGCATCTCTTACCTTGCAGGACTAACAACAGGAAGTTCTTTCCACAGGAAAAAAAAAAAGTCTTCTTAATACAGCATCTTGGGTTTTGAGCTAATAGGATTTTTATACCCACAAAAGTCATGTCAGGTCATTTTTAGGCATGTTTCTTAGTTAAATGTTGATCTTTATGTTGATCTCTATGTTGATAGAAAGAAAAATATCTAGATATCTTTATAGACAGAGGAATGCAAACTAGCATAGCATAGCACAGAACAGAATAGTTCAGTTGGAAGAGACCTGCCTTTTAAACACTGACAGGCTTGAGGCATTGACCACATCTCTAGGAAGCCTGTTCCAGTGTTTGGTCACCCTCCCAGTAAAGAAATGCTTCCTAATATCAAGTCTGAAACTCCCCTGGTGTAACTTTGAACCATTCCCACATGTTCTGTCACTGGATACTAAGGAGAACAGGTCAGCAACTACTCCAGTAACTTCGTTAAAAACCTTCTGAAACTCCCTGAATAGTTCCCTGAAGCAACTCTACAACATGCAAAAGAAAAGCATAAAACTTTGGGATAATAAAAAAATCTTCTGTGTGACTTCGGCATTTGTTAAAAATGTAATTAACAAAAATCCACTTCAAAAAACCCTTTCCTTCAATACCACGTAATCATTCTTTCCTCACTGATAAGAATATATAAGTTTACTCTATGCATACATGTGTCTGCTCACATGGAAAACACTATTACTTTTGGGTTAAAAGTATAGTATAAAGACAGCTTTCTGATCTGAGATTTCACACATCTCTCTCTTAATTAAACTGAAAATTCCCTCAGTTCCGTAAGACATTAATTTATTCTAATGATTTAGTATTCAAATAATTTAGTTCCCATTCCTGGAAAATTCTTAATAATGTAACAACAAATGTCATAGTATTCTGAAGCTTTTTTGCTTCAGAAAATAAGAAATGAGGAATTGACTTCATCCTGTAGAATTTCTAGAAAGGCGTGGGGCTAATTCTTTGCCTGTTGGCTTCATCAGACTTAAATCTGCTAGATCTGGCTCACCAAAAGAAAAAGACGACTGTTACTGAATTAAAGTATAGTTTAGATTTATTTACAAAGGGCATCGGTAATATTACCTATGGTAAGTTATTTTTCTTTTTTCTGTAAAGAAATATTTAACAACTTGGAACTGACATTGCCCTGGATTTCATAATATTCTGCCAGTCAATGTACCTTACACTCTTTGTCCTCAAGTCTGTGTTGTTTTGATTGCATGCGATATATGTTGTTCACCATGACATTTCTTTTGAAGGTCAGTCAGTGCTGTAGAAGAAATCCCTGTTGGAACTCAGAAGAACAGCAGACAGAACCTGCTCAGTTTAGGTTCCACCTTCTCTGTGTCTACAAAGGACTACACAGCAGCTCCTGCATCACAGAAATGTTTGTTCCACAGGAAGGAAAAGGTGACTAATGAAAAACATATAAGCTGATTTCAAAATGTAAATATCACTGAAGAGAAACCTCTCATCCAGTTGAGTATTCTAAATTGACAGACTCCAAATTAGGCATGATCCAGTTCTGATAACTCAGAACTGAAGGTAGTGAAAACTCTTGTTCATAAAGACTAAGCAAAAACTCATAATCAAAACCTCTCTGACCTACATGTGTGATTTCTGCAAGCATCAAACACCATATGGACTGTTTTCATCAACCACTTTAACAGCAGCTTCAGAAAGCAAAAACATTTACAGAGACAGTGAGCCCAAACCCTTGCTGGTCAACAGTGCTCAAAGGACTTAAATTTTTCTTACAGTGTATGCCTTGACAGAAAGCATAGGCTGGCAGTGAACATGCCAAACCACTAGTTCACCTAAGGGTCTATTTCTAGTTGCTCATTTGTTGTAGGACTGTGTTAAATGGGAAGGGTAATGTCTCTTTGGCAGCCGGATTACAGAAATCCATAAATAACTGAATCACAGAAAACTCCACAATGCTGCCCATGGAGTTTTCTGTTGTAGAAGGGACAAGTTTCAGGCTGGTGAGTCCCTTCACCTGTGCTCGGTTCACAAGCTCAAGACTGACCAGTGGCAGAACTTTGATCAAGAGTTTCAGTTAGATACTTTGGGAAATTATCTTTTTATATATAAATTTAGTTATAAATTTTGTTAATATGTTTTTTGCTGGGATAATTAAATTCCTCAGAAGGAGTCCAGAAACTGTTACAACAAAGTGCTAGTCCCTCTTTGTATGTGATACAATTGTCTGTTGGCAGGACAATACTAGTATTATGAAACAAACTATAAATTTTCTCAAACTAAATGGATCAAGGTACTAAGTCATGGAGAATGGTTGGAAGGATACACATCTTACCACTTGCAGACATTTAGTTATTTCTGTCTGCTTCAAGGATCTAAAAGCATAGATGAGCCTGAAAAAACCTCAATATGCAAAATTCCTCGAGATGGATGCTCAGCAAGAAAAAAGCATCTTGTGCTGTTAAAGTTTGCTGAAGTTAAAAAGAAAGAATACAGTGTCTGCTAAGAAGAAATATAGGTCAAACTTCATTACAGGGAAGAAAGCAGCTCTGCATTTTAGTCTGGTTCCCTATGGAAGCTAGGCTTATGAAATCACAGTGGTGTGTATGTATGTGTGTACATGTCTGTGACCGTCCTCATAGTAACTTGGGGATCAAACGGGAAAAGGTCTCAGAAGAAATTAAGTTTCTGTGTCATGAAAATAGGTGCCTTGCAAAGGCAAGGGATCTTGGTTAAGTCCTTTTACAGAAGAAAAGGCTTCAGGATGAGCTTACCCCTAATTAGACCCCAGAAAGTCCACACAGGTGAAACCCCAGAGAGAAGTCTTCAATCAGCATTTGCACCTTATTAGACACTGAAGTCAATTAGCTACAGCATACAGATCAACAGAAATAGGTTTCATTGGTACTGATGTTTGGGATCTTCATTATATTAAGGAGATATTTATTAAATTTCTAAATTGCCTCCTCACAGTTTTCAGGTCCAGAATTTATTATTTTGTCTAGTGAACCACCAGTGACCTTACAGCTGCCTGGATCAATTGTGGTAAGTATGAACATTAAGAATTCAGAAATAATCTAGTGACCTTTTTAGCTGGGTCTCTTTGTAAGTCACATCTGAGTCCCAACCCAGTATTCTTACCATGTCCTCCTCCCAAGCCAAGTTAGGGTTCCTGCAGAGGTATTGAGACTTAAAAGGAGGTCATCTAATTCTCAGTGCCACATACTTATTTCTGTTGGTGTGAAAATAGCTTAATTTATCCTTCTCAGCTAAGAATGCTCACTTTAGCACAAGACTTCTGAGATGAAGATTATACGGCAAATATGCAATGTGACATCTAGTGCCAATGTATTGGACTCGAGTTTACAGGCACATCCTCTACCTTTCATTAAGATAAGGTAAAAAGCTGACAGAATACAGTAGTAAAAATGATAGCAAAGAAAATCTGGAATTACCTTCAAATCTAGAATAACTCTGGTGATTATAGAGTCTGAGTATACTCAGCTGTTCTGTTGGGACTCCCTGGGTTTTTTAAAAAATAGAAATGTTTGGGATATTAATTCATGAGAAGGGAGGCAGGGAGAAGCATAGTGTTGTGACCAATTCCATCAGGTTACGTAGAGACAGGAGACTAAGGGGTCTCAGTAATAAAATGCTGTGGAACTTGCATTGCTTGTACTTGGCACTCATTCTTCACTCTCTGTTATATGTTCTTAGACTAAAAAAGGGAAATCCTATTTGTCCCAAAGGGATCTCAATGTGATTCTACTCAATGGGCAGTGCCTTGAGGTGCAATGTGACATCAAGTCCAAGGCAAGAGATGTTTTCAACACCGTGGTGGCATATGCAAACTTGGTGGAACATTTCTACTTTGGCTTGGCTTACCTGAAAGGTAATGAGACACAGCTAACTACAGTAACAGTTCTCTCCCTCAGCACCTCAGTCACTTTATTAATGAATCTATTAAAGATCCTCTAAGATCCTCAGACAAAAGCAGGTCCAAAGCTTAAGCAAAAGTAAGGTACGTTGGTTTAAACTGTACTGCACTGATGTGAAGCGTGTCTACCCTAGGACTGTGCATCAGCACAGCCAAACTGTTCCTTGATGATATTCCCATGCAGAAAAGGCTTTGTCCCGGCCTTGCACTGGAATAATACAGAGCCACGTAGCTCCAGCAGAAATTCCAGGAAGCACTGTACAAAGGAAGCCTGACTGTCTTCCTTCGTAGATATAAAATGGAGTACAGACTCAGCCATTTAATCTACCAGACCCACATCTCCCTAGCCCATTTCTGATGGCAAGCACAACTGAGGAAGAATCATACCTTGTGTGTAGGGCACGAGGATGACAATGGGGTGCAGAACCTGAATGGTGAGCAGAATTCCAGCCCCATAAATTCTTAAGTGATTCCACAGAGACCACACCAATGAAGCATCTAACAATTGTAATCCTCAGTTACACATTGTATTATCCTAAGTTCTCCATCAAAGAAGTAAGAAATTAAGCCACGGCACAGAGAAATAAGTCTCAACTGATGTCCGTGATCCATTTTATTTTTTATTGCTAGTGATGCACTGAATGAAGACAGCAGAACTTTGAGCTACTGAAGTATCTCCAGATTTATCACAGAACCCAAAATTCTCCTTTCAGGTAAAGAATTCTTCTTTTTGGATGAGGAGACCAAACTCTACAAAGTGGCCCCAGATGGCTGGAATGACCAACCCAAGAAGAAAACTTCCATCATTAATTTCACACTCTTTACAACCATTTTAATGTTATCCAGTAAGTGCATAGTTCTGCTGACTGCAGGAAAACCAGTAGCACTTAAAGTGGCTGTTCAAGGCTCCTCCTGTGTTCCTAAACCTTTTTGTGTTCCAGGCATGGCTTGACAAGGCATCAGTTTTACCTGCAGCTTCGTAAAGATATCTTGGAAGAGCGACTATATTGCAATGATGAGACTGCCCTGAAGCTTGGCGCTTTGGCTTTACAGGCAGAGCTCGGCAATTATGCTTCTGAGGTATGGATAAGTAATACAGTATTTCTCAGAGGTCTCTCTCAACAGAGAGAGGGGCATGGATGTGCAGAGGAGCAAAAAGAGATTAGAAAACATGGAAGAGAAAAATAAAGAAACACTCCAGAATTCACAGCTATTTTGTGTGTAGGCTCAGATCCACAAGCTGCAAAGACAGGAAGGTCACTGATGATCTGAACTGGTTATCCTAGTTTTGAAGCGTACGCAAAATACCCATTTCTGTTCCCTTCCATACCCTCAATTATATAAACCAGTGTAACTGTATTAACTGAACTCTGAGTGGTCTGATCCATCTGGCCAGATCCATCCCAGCACTGGGTGCCCCACTGCAGGCTGTACTGCTGCAGCTGTACCTGTCGACAGCGCTACGTGCGGGGCCGCAGGCACGCCTGTAGGCCCAGCTCTTTTCCCCGCTCTGCACAGAGAAGCAGGGCGTGCTCTGAGCACCTGGCCGAGCACAGGTGTAGGAGGCACATTTGGCTGTCAGGACAGCACCTGTTGTTCCCCATTTTCTTTTAGGAAATGGCAACAGGGGGACTTAAGCGTACAGGTCACCCTGAAATTGGAAATGCACCAATTAAGAAAAGTCAAGAAAGAACAAAAGGCTCCTCTCTCTCTCTTGTTTGTTTTTTTTTTTTTCTTTTTTTCTTTTTTTTTTCCTCCCAAAGATGCATGGAAAGAGCTATTTTCGTGTTGAAGACTACATTCCAGCAAGCCGAATAGAGAAAATGACCCTGGCGTATGTACAACGAGAGCTTGCTAAATTACATCGTATGAATCGTTCCCTATTTGAGGATGAAGCTGAACAGGAATTTTTAAAGGTAACTTGCCATAGCCCAAACATTATTTATTTATTCTGAGATAGAAAGCCACTCTCTATTTACCATTGCCTATTATTTTCTTCTTGCCGGATGCAGTGGATTTTAGAGAAGGTGAACAAATTTGAATAGCCAACAAAAATCTCAGAATTTCATTCTGTCGTAGATACTTTCATACATATCACGTTATAACTAACATCACATTTACATGGTAGGTTTCCTTTCACTGACAGTTTATAAAGGGTTAATGCACATTTCAGGGTATTTTCAACATCCTAAGGGTTGAGGCAAATTTCAGCATGTTACTGACATGTCTGGGTTACAGATGATTATAAATACACCTGCTGAATGTATTAGAGATGATTATAGAATATGGGAATAAGCAGTTCCTTGACTTCTGAAACTATACCAGCTGTTCAGACACTTCCTAAACATGTAGTGATTATTTGTTTAAAAATATCTGTGAACCCTGGAAGTGAGGAGGGAGTTATATGAAGTATTTTCTCACATGACTATTTCTGTAGGGCTCTGGGGTGTCACGATGATGTGGGACTTAATTCTGCTCCCCACCCCTCCCGATTTCTTCTTCTCCCTCAAACTTCTCTGCTTTCCATCAAATGAAAAGTATCAGGCACCAGATAATGTATAAATGCCAGTAGTCATTTTTCTGCAGTGCCACATGCTTTTATTTATAGCATCATTTTAGTTCAGTTGCTGTTTAATTATGTTTGTTCCTCATTTAACACTGTCAGTGGAATTGATGGAATAGATTGAAGCTTAGCCTTAATGACAGTCCCATCATGCGTGGCAAATCCAATGAAGAAAAGCAGCTTTGTTAGTATCTGTTTCAATGAATAAGTCTGTAGAAGGAGTCAACACATCATACAAAATAAGCAAGATAGCCCCCATGGCAAGAACATGCAAATTCCAAATATGAAAGGGATTAAAAATTAAAACCCAGATTCAGCTAGTGATTATGGGTGCCCCAGTTTTAAGGACCTGAACATTCATGCTCTGGATACTTTCTGAAAAACAGATCTTCTTAAAGTGTTTTATTTTTGTCACTGAAAATATCTATTCATGGTTGAAAAGCCATTGGGGGATTCTGCATTAACTTCCCAGAAAAAAAAGCTTTAGAAGAAACTCATATTGATGTGCAGATAACAAAAGAAGACGGAAAACCCTCCTCATATGCCATAGTTCTGTAAAGGGTCTGAGTCACATTTTAACATTTTGTGGCCAAGTGCAGGAGGTAGAAAGACAAGCAACAACATCCAGAACCTCTGGGTGAGTTCCTCAGAGTATCCTCTGCACAGTAATATGTCAGGGGCCAAAGCTGTCTCCTCAGTCCCTTGAAGTATAATCCTACTTAACTTTTCACCCAGAAGTGACACTGAAGGTCTATTACTATAGAGTCTGGCACCGAAGGGTATTCTGGGCCAGTGAAATTCTCTCAAAAGTCACCACTATATTTAGGTGAGACACTTTGAGGTACAATTTAGCAAACCCTATAACTTAAGATTCTTGGCAATGGAAATCTATAATGTCTGATTTTAAAAGATGATACCCATGAAGGAATGGGTGTATGTACCTGAGTGAGTTTGTTGCAGGCTGGGAGCTGTGGTGTCACTGCAGTTAAGACTTCCAGTTGGTCATCACTACTGTAGAAAGGAAACCACACAAGCCCGGAACAATGTCAGAGTAGCTCTGGCAGCAAAGTATTAGCAGTTTTACTAAGATCATCATATTTGCTGTACCTTGTGGTTTCTGGGTTTGCTCAGGGAAACAGACACCGAAAAGAAAATGGAAAGAAACAAGGTCTAACAGTAGTCAAGCAACATTAATCCTGCATGGATTTCTATTTGGAAATGCACACAAGTGCCAAGTAGCCGTAATGCCGGGTACGTCAGTGCCGTTGTACTGATTATTGTGCTGGAAGCTACATATTCCTCCTACCTCTTGAAATGAAGTGTGTGGGAAAGCGTTATCTCAATTTTACACATGGAAAATGAATGCAAGTAATGGCTCTGTGACATACCAAAGTAAGGTCATGATTCTGTCAGGCAGTAGGTATGCAAATTTGGTAAGGGCCTCCGGACGTTTCTTGACAGTGAGAGAACATTCAGTAAATGCACTCAAAACCATTTCCCCTCCCATCTACTCCTACCTTTTCTCCTCACGACTCTTTTTGATTAATGCGTGCCAAATGCACTTTTTCTCTACAAGGTGACTCAGCAACTTCCTGAATATGGAGTGTTATTCTATCGTGTGTCCCAAGAGAAGAAAGGAGCAGGAGGAGACATCATCCTGGGAATCTGTGCCAAAGGCATCATTGTGTATGAGGTCAAAAATCACACAAGAATTGCCAGTTTAAGATTCCAGTGGCGTGAAACAGAAAGAATTTCAGCTCATGTGAGTTGGAAGCCAGTGAATCTCTTCTCCACTCTCCTACGTTACTCCCCTTCTGCCTGTCACTTTGATAAATTTATTGCATTCAGAGCCAGGGTTAGACTCATTCTGTACAAGCAAGTCCTTTTGGAAAACAGACTAAAATCAAGGCTGGATCTGGATGTGGATTCCAAGATACCCAGTTCTTAAGCGAGGTTTAGTTCTGGCGTTTTTTGCCAAGGCTGGAGTCAAATTACAATAAAACTAAATAATCTGGTGTTGACTACTACGGAGACTATGTCAAACTTCCCTATGGCATATTCATTCCCCTCTCATCTTTACTTCTGTCTCCTTTTTCTTTCATTTTCCCTCCTACAAAAGGTCATGGGATCACGTGTCCCTCTTTGCAGATCTTATTATTCCCATCCTCATCTCTTACTATATTGACATCTGTTAACAAACCAGTATTGGTGATAAGATTGTGATGCCTTCTAAATGGTATTCTGCCATCAGATGTATATCAACCTTCCATCATACAGTGTAGGTGTCAACCTGCATGACACATTTCCCAGCCTGTTTGCTCTCCCAAAATGGCCCTTCTGTCTCTTGAAGATATTTTCATATTCACATTAAATATTGGTTTAATAATTTTAACATCTGTAGGGCCAAATCTTGCCGGTTCTATGAACCTGCTCCTAGTGCAGTCAATGTCCCAAAGCTCTTGACTTTCGACATAGGGCAGTCATGATCCCAATGACAGACACCTTACTAACAACTGTTGAATTTATGATTGTCATTTAATGCACTCAAAAGGCATGCAGTCAGGCATAAATACAACTGGACAAACCAACAAGATTATACAAATGAACTTTCAGTGCCTCAGTGCAATGACTAATATATGAAGCAAGCTGTGCTTTTTTTCTCCCTTTAGAGAAAAAAATTCATGATTGAAAGCAGCTTCAGTGGCAAAAAACACACCTTCATTACCGATACAGCAAAGACATGTAAATATCTACTGGACCTCTGCTCTGCCCAGCACAAATTTAATGCACAGATGAATTCTAGGCAACTTCGGCAAACTTCATCAGGTGAGGAATAAATGCACTTTCATTACTCAGGCCATAGGACAAGGTTAGGTTTTAGGAAGAGTGCATTCAGTGAAGCTGAGAATCAGAACCTGCTACATCAGTTTCACTGTGCTTCAGCTTCTCATTTGCAGAGCAGAAAATAATGTTTCCTACTTCAGTGGAAGTTAGAGGTGTGCAAGTCTAATTTAGTGTGTGCATGTGAGTGTGTGTGTGCGGGGCGTGGAGAGGGGTTCTCTGATGATAATGACTATATAGCTAAACTCAGATTTGAAAAAAAGAATGATTACACTTCCTTTCAGGAAACCTCCTGAGAATTCTGAAGATACATATCAGACTTACCCCAAATGTAACCTGATAAATGTTCCACACAAAGAATAACTACAGTAGTGCCCAGATATGCTGGAGCTGAATTCAGTTAACTGGTTATCTTTGCATAAGACAGGGGTTCAGCTCTATGGTTCAGTCCCAGGACAAAACTACCAAACCAAAAGCACATCAGTTACACTCAGCTATGTAGCTGCCAGCTGTTCTTACCCTAGGTTTTGCCATGTCCGTAGAAGATAAGACTATTACCTCCTTAACATTCAGATTTTCCATAGTTTCTAAACCAAGGTTCTGCTCAATCCAGGGCAGTTAGCACTTCTCACCCACAGTTCTCAGCATGCTCTGTAAAGATGGGTGAGGATCATTACAGGGAAACTGAGGCACATAAGAAATAACAGCATAAGCTGACAACTGTCATCACTCTTGACTTCAGTGAAGCAACATGGATTTTCACTAGCTGAGGACTTGTCCTTTGCCTTGAACAGAATCATCATCATTTACAACTACTGAATATTTGACCCAGTGAGTCATAGCAGGAGAATCAACTGTCATGCCTTATCTCCCGGGATACTCCATCCTCTAGTAAAATTGTAAAAGTGTTTGCACTGAAATAATACCATGGGATATAACAGGATGATTAATATATTGCTTCTTTCCCACTAAAATTATTCCATGAAAACTGAAATTCCACCTGCACAAATTTGTTACAATGAAAAAGGTGCTAGGGTGACATTTAGGTTCAAGGCACCTTTTGTTGCTTGGGGTCCTGTAGCTTCAAACACAACTTAGTGGGACTGTGATTTGTAGCATAAAAATGAACGCTAATACTGAATCTTAAAGTTTCCTGTGTCACATTTGCTTGTACTAATATTTCTTAATAAAAATTACTATATTCCATATATAAGAGGACAAAAAGATTGAGAGCTGTCCCAGAAAAAAAGGCTTTCTGAAGGCAATGATAGACAATAGTTCAAAATGCTGCCTTTGCCAGCACAGTGAGACTGCAAGAGATTATAAGGCTCTTTCTGTATGAGGGAAACTCTTCCTTCTGCTGCTCTGTTGAGATGTATAAGTACCATCTCCTCAAAACTTGCTAGCAACCCCCTACTTTGAAATCACCATGGCAACTCTCAGACTGTGCTAATACCGTGGACAGTCAAGCCTCTTGATGCCTTAACAAATGCCACTGATCAAAGTCACTGAGGAGAGAGGGACCCAAGGTTTAATGCTGCAGAGTAGTGCACTAGAAAGTTGCATTCGGGCTAATATTTGTTAGGAAAACACATGGGAGGTCAGCTGTCACGTACAAGCAGATTTAAAGGCCATATCTGTGCTAGCCTGTACCAAGCAGGATTCTTGTTTTACTTTCTGACAGATCTCCAATTGCCTGCTGTCCCTCTCTCCTTCAGATCCCCTCTCCAGCCCACCAGTTAAGAATCTAAATAAATTAATGACTCCTCCAGCACTATCTTGTTTCAGGGAAATAAAATCTTTTTAGAGGATAGATTCATAAATAGCAGAGCCCAGATGTCATTAAGCAAGTAGTAGATTTCACACGGAAGTGGAAAATTGGATAGCAAGCTTTGCCACCAAGACGGTCCCATACTCAACTCTACTTGCGCAAATCACTCAGAGCAAACAGCCAGCTCCTTGGCCCCTCTCTGAGCTTAGAGAGCATGTGTCAGTAAAGCCGCGGTCTTCTCAGATACACATATACTGGAGGGGTGGGCCTGGGAAGGGTGGGAAACTACCAACCTGGCTGTTTCAGCCTCTGGCAGACAGGTATTTCTCATACACTGAACGTTTACAAAATACACTTTACAGAGATATTCAGGTTAAAATTATACAGGGTTGTACATTTCATCTGTCTTTGTGGAAAGTGAACTTGCAGTATAATTCATAGAAATGAAATCTAAATATGGCATATACTTTCTACGAAAGAAATGGATTGGAAACCCTTTCCACTCACTCCAAGGCCTACAGATCCTCAAGGATACCAAAACAAATATATCTGTGATGTCAATCTTTTTTGCTGGCATGTTCAAAAAGTTAGACAGAAAGCAGCTTTGAGCTTAAAAAGATGGGATAACATCAGTGGATTTATCTTTCCTTCCTCTTCCCCTCTCCCTTCTTATTCAGAGGAAAGTAAATTTATGGAAATAGACAAATCAAATTCTGCATATGCAGCTCAGCGTGAACACCTTGCCCTGATTCAGAGACTGTCTCGTTCAGAGAATGTGCTCTATGGAGCAAATCTGGAAAACCTTTCTGCTGGGATGATGAGCAAATCTTGTGATAACCTCAGTGTGCAAACCAACAACAGGGTTAGAGACAAAAGCAATCTTGGCAGGTAGGTTTGCTTTTTCCTCTAAACCTGTGTAAGAATACTCAGTCATAGACGATATCATTGCAAACCACTGTGGTAAACTGTGAGACAAACTTTTTTTTTTTCCAGTCTTTATTATGGTCACACCAAAAGGCCCTGTCAGGCCTGGGGCTCCACGGTACCAGCAGTAGTGCAAACACAGGCAGGAAGCTAACAGTCTAACAGAAAGAACTTGAAAAAGAGTGACATTTAAATTTGTAGCAGACTCAGGAATGAACCACTTATTGGGTTACGGAGAAGGATTAAAATAAGGGAGGAAAAAAGTAAAATCTTTAGTGTCTATCTTCTCTGGAAATGGCAGTATGTGAACTGAGTGCACAGCAGAAGCTGGTTTTGAGCAGGTCTTACCTAACTGATTCCTCCATGTCTAAAGGTGCAAATCATAGAGAACAGTTTAAGAACTTCTCCCTTTTCATTTGCATTGGTACCTTCACCGGTGTAGGTGGTTACTAAAGCTGCACACAGCCTCAAGGGCTTTGATGAATTCTACTGCCTTTTATAATATTAAGAGTTAGAATAGAGCCAAGAAGAACATGAACTACCAGGAAAACTTTCAGACATGGTTTTGTCTAGATGGACAGTGAGGCTAAATGAATTATGCTGAGGCTACGCTGTGTTTTCCTGATGCCTGCATTGAGCTCAGAGAAAAACACAGGGGGAAATCAGTCATGATGTGAGTGGTCTAATGGCAGCTGTTACTTGGAAGCAAATGCCAGCAAGGATAAATTACTTCTCCTTACATACAATGAAATGTAGCCCAGAAATCAGAATACTCATTATAAACATGTGTGTTCCCAACTTGGCTCTGGCAGACTAACAACAATGAAGAGTGCTAAATACCATTGCTGGTTTGTTATTGTAATGTAGTCTTAATTCCTTGCTGTGCAGATCCACATCAGGGCTATCCCAGTCAGAAATGCACATCAATTTGAATGGAAAGCAAAGAAGTTATGACTACCTCTCTATCCACTCAACTCAGAACACAATCAGTGGTGAGTATAATAATCATAAAGACAGACAGTACCCTTCCATATTTATTGTCGCAATAGCAGGAGAACAAAATATATTCCACTTAAGAGATTAAAGAATATCCTTTTGCACTTCTAGTCCTGGGAATTAACCCAGAGTTTAGCAAGACAAGCTGTTTTCTTACCTTTCATTCCCACTTTCCATCAGGATCAGTGGTAAGGGACTTCATCATAAAATTATTCTATCAATGGTGCCTAATGCTCTTCAGAGATATAGTTTGGTACACCCAGGACTCTCGCATGGGGGAATATCTCTGTGCTCAGAGGTCATCATTTGGTTTGCAATTGACAGATCTACAACTCAATAAATAGTGCAGGAAACAACACAGGCTCCTGGTCCTTCTGCTATTCTTGCATTTGCATGACACTAACTGGAAGAAGAACCGGACACCTAACACCTAACCCTTCTCACAGAAGCCATACTGCATGCACACAGTGAGCTGATCTATAGAATACAAAGCTATGATTATTTGGTTACTCCATTTTAAAATTAGAACTGTACTTTAAAAACACTATGGCAATTGCACAATATTAAATAGCGTTAACACTACAAAAGTCACCATCACAATCTGTGCTGACTGGATGGCACCTACAGAGCCAAAAGGGCCCACAGGCCCAAAGGCTAGAGTTTCCAAAGGAACCCATAGGAGATTTTGTGTCCAAATCACCCTCAGGTTCAATGGGCACTACATGCCTGATTCTTTAGATATCCTAATCTTAATAAAAATGTGGCAGATAAATGTGTATTCTCCCAGAAACGAACATTATAAGAAGAGTTTACACAGCTACTGTACACATACTTTTCTAAAGAATGTAAATTTCCAGAGACTTGTTTGAGCTTCCTTCCTGCATTATATTGATTCAGAAGTAACATTATTGTTGAAAACAAGGACAATATGTATTTTTAATTTTTCAAGCCCCAGTTTTGCATACTATATGACTCTACTGTCTCCCTGCATTAATCTGCATTTATTCTAGCTGTTTTGTTTCTGCAGCACCTGGATCACCAGCGATCCAAAAGGAAGTTTTGCTAAGTGGTCTAGAAAGAGAAATCATTTGTGTCAGCCTAAAACGTGACCCTAAGAATGGATTTGGTAAGTAAGGAACATAACATTCATATTTGTTACTGGGACTGTCAGATCCTGGTGCTAACGATACTTGCAGACTCAAACTGAGCCAGATTGTAGTCTTCATTATTCTTCTTATAGAATAAGACTACCAATCCTTGTGAAGGACTTAGAATTTCCAAGACTGAAAAGGACTAAGAGCGTAAATCAAGACCACAGTTTTTTCAGAGGATTAACTACGGCCACAGAGGTCAAGGGGACCAAGTGCTAAGAGTAGAATGAAAGGAACAAAGGTCATAGTTTTGTACCTGAAATACATGCGCAGTGGTTTTATTTATCTTAGACCTTACATAGGGCAAGATGATGTTCTGCAAACTTTTCAGGTATTGCCTGTGGGGGTGCAAAATGTGTACACAAGCTTAACATGAATGTTTCCTGACTTTTGGATTCTTATTTGGATAACATTTTTATTAGCCAATTAAACATCAAATTTCTAAATGGTGCAGGTCTGTGTGGAATATCCCAATCCCAAACACAACTATTCTACCAGTGAAAAGAATGTAGTCTGCAATAGGCAGAATATTCTGAGATAGGATAGTGAAGTTGAACTACTTGACAATAGATACAATTTTCTTAGATATCTCTTACATGTCCATTAGAAGTTTACATGGCCAACCTCAGGGGCCCTAGATTTCATGATGTAGAACAATGTTCAAAGTTATCTAAAGAGCTTTTAAACCACTTTCCTCCTGCAGGCGTTGAATACAAAGGTCCACATAGTTTATGACTCTTGTAAGAAAGTAGTTGGAACCTTTAGAAGTCCCAAGCCAGGAAAGTGTTCTTACTAAGAAATTACATTTAAATAGGCACCAAAGTCACCAGCACACTTTAATTATAATGTGAATTTAAAGTTCTCACAAATCAAGACCTTGATGCCATGTAAATCAGAGCTCCCCATTCTCCATACCATGTTTAAAATCTACGCCATTAGAGCAAAAGCCTTTTGTGCCTTTTGTTCACCTTTTCTAATACTGCCAGTGTCTCTGCATTCTCATGCTATCTCATTTTTGCAGGTTTTGTAATTATTGGAGGAGAAAATGTGGGAAAATTAGACCTTGGTATCTTTATTGCTTCAATTATCCCTGGGGGACCTGCAGACAGAGCTGGAAATATCAAACCAGGTCATTGTCCTTAGTTTTAAATTAGAGTTAAAATACTTTCATGGTTTAAAGTTAGCTACTCTGGATTTATTTCCTTATTTAGATGTGTTTTGTCTTGTTTTTAACCCCCCACTTTTTTTTTTTTAAGGAGGACGACTCATCTCTGTGAATAATATTAGTCTTGAGGGCGTTTCATTTAATACTGCAGTTAAAATCATACAGAATTCTCCCGATGAAGTGGAGCTCATCATCTCTCAACCCAAAGGTATAAAGGCAAATGTCTTCGCTGGCTATGGAATGCTAATAGTTAACTCAGGACACTGCTATTTATTAGGCACTGGGACATAGTAGTACTTTCTTGCTACTTAGCGCCAGCTACAATAACCATAGGCTAGCAGTAAAAATTGTCAACTTGTAGTAGGTATCATGTGATCTCTGTTCTACAGTCGGAGTGAAAAAAATCTATTATGGGCTGCATTGCTGAATACCAAGGAAATTTTGGCATTTCTTTTTCTGATAGAGTCATAGTCCTCTGCAGTGATGAAGCAAACACATTTCTCCACACTTGTAATAGCAGCACTCCATTTTACAATGACTGACTCATTTTATAGAATATGATTTCACAACCAGTTGATGTAGGAAGTTACTTTCTCCTCCTGTGCTGAGGTATAATAATATTTGCCTTCAAGTTTACTTACTGTTTGTATTCAGCAATGTTTATTTTGGTATGGCTTTACAGACATGTATGAAGAAGGATTAAATGAAGAAAAGAATCTATCAAGAGGAAACAGCACTAGTGGATCTGAGATCTCTTATGTAGACAGTGGGAGAAAAAAGATTCAGGATTGTCATACAGCTCTCCCCAAAGAACAGGACACAAATATAGATGAACTTGAAAAGGCTCTTTCCTGGAATTTAGCACCAAAATTGAGCCCTAGGATTCCAGTTCCTTCAGCTGATAGCCTGGAAGTGGAGGTAACTGAGATTTTGATGCTATTCAGTAATATTATTCCCAGCATGTGTCTTAACAACATGTCAGCTATATTAAGAATGGAAGGTAACCAAGAATTTTTTTAAAAAAAGAGAAGAAATGAGAAAGAAAACCTTGGAAGGTGTTGCTTTTTAAATTATATTGGAAATGTCAAAATGATAGACAGGTCTAAAATATGTGAAAAAAATGCAGTAACTGTTCCACAAAATGTTATTAAAAATTCTCCTCCCTTTTCCAGTGGAGGTACAAAATTTTGATTATTTCCTTGCAATCTCTTAAGTTTTCAACCACACACAGAACAACAACTGTGTCTAAATTCCTACTATTAGACAGCCTCCCTATCTATACTCAACTTATGCACATTTAGACAGATTATATTTTGAGTAATATTAGTTTAAGCTTGAAATAATGTCAGGGATATAAATGGTACCGCTCCAAGCTTACAGTGGCAGCAGGATCAAAGCCTTTGTATCTTCTAGAAACTCTCCTTTTTTTCCTTCCTTTCCCCCCCTTTCTTTACTGAGATGCTGTAGTCTCATTAGTGTTTATATTTTTGAGACAGGAAGGTGACTCTTCACACTTACCATCTCCATCTGAAACCAACTCAAAGGAAATCTATTCTGTGGAGCTTGTTAAAGAAGATGGGACTTTCGGAATCAGTGTGACTGCAAGTGTTACTGTTAATCTTTCAGTGTGTCTGTCTAACTATTACATGACCAAAAAAAAACCATAGGGAAGTGTATTTATGTGGAAGACACGACTATTTTGCTTCTCAAGATAAGCCATGCTTTCTTACTCTGAAAGCCAAAGAAAGGGCTCTAGACAATTTTATTTCCTAATATATGGAAATACAGTTCTCCATATATTTAGAGTACCAGAGAAAACAGCAGTGAAAACTATCTGCCACATTTGAATAATAATGCCTTGCCCTGATTATCAAAGTTGCATTTACCCCTCCAGGCTGATATCTCTTTGCAGTCCTTGCTGAAATGGGAAGCAATAGCCATTTCATTGCCTGCAAAAGAAACTGAGGGCTGCCTTTTCATCTGAATTTGGCCAGGGGATTTAGATGGACAGAACATGATTCTTAGGTTAATCTGTAATTCCTCTGAGCTGTAGGGTCTTTAGTGGCTGCACAAGTTCAGGTCCATGTTTTATATATTGTTTGAAAGGTTAATTATTGCTGAATGTGTATTGCATAGTTTGGAAGCTGTGCTAGAGACTGACTGAAAGATGTAACCTCATCTTGATGTTAGCATAGGGAAAAAAATTTATGAACATTTAGTAAATGTTTTTATATAGCCACATAGAAATGCATTGCATTTTCCTGAGAAAATAAAGCAAGATTACTGCCTAGGGAAGTATATCACAACTAGATGGGACTTTCAAGTAACATCCTCTTTCCTTTTTTTCCTATTTAAAAAAAAAAATAATTCCTGAAGCAGTTGCTTTGTAATACATGTGTAAATTGGTTTGATTTTTATCACAGGAAGAACGTGTGAAGACTCCACTCTAATCTGTGGGCATCTGTTTTGCAGGGTGGAATTAACACTAGTGTGCGTCACGGTGGGATATACGTGAAGTCAATTATTCCCAGGGGATCAGCAGATAAGGATGGACAAATAAAGATAGGTAACGTGTCTGGCAATGTTAGTGAACTCAGTGTGGAATGCCTGCCACAGGGACAGTGAAACAAATTTGTGATTGGAGGTCAAACAACTGTGAAATGTAATATGCAGTGCATCATTCCTCAGCCCGTCCCTGTACTACATGTAGATATCCCACTGAAAAACCAGGAGCCTCATACCAACATTGTACAGTTATCTCTGTAGCTGCACATAAGGCTACTGACTCTGACATCTACTTTCAGTGTTGCTGTGATAACCAGATACTATCACTGCTTACAGAATACCCTGGTATGTTTTAAGTGCTAGTTATAGAATGCTGTACATCAAGCAGTATTGCTTTCAGGGAAAGTAACATAATTTGACACATTTAAGAGTGAAGATCTATTGCCTCAAGGTTTACACCTTACCCATTGAACTTGAACACCAAAGCAACTTGACCCTTTTTTGTTTGTTTTCTTTTGCCTCAGGTGATCGTTTGCTGGAAGTAGATGGCACCAGCCTCTGCGGCATCACCCACAAACAGGCTGTGGAACACCTTAAGAAATCTGGCCAGGTTTGTACAACAGCAGAGCTCAATCAGATACCCAACAGAATAAACTGCACTTAGTATGAAACACAGTAGCAAAGCTAGGCCAAAAGAAACTTCCCCCCTTACCCATCCAACCCCATTCTCCTATAAAGAAAAGTAAAAAGACTTAGGGCTCAACGTGTACTGTGTAATTGGAACCTGTTCATCATTGTTTTAGGTTGCCAAGCTGGTTCTAGAAAGGGGAAACTACCAACTGGCAGAGCCATGCCTGACTACTAATGACAGAAAGGAGGACCAATGTGCAGTTGTTTCTGTAGCAACATCCTTCACAGATGGTACCAAGGACCACTGCTTTTTGACAGATGGTAAGCGATGAAAAAGGAACTCGGGTAAACTTAGAGTTACAGTTGCTAGATATAGCTGAATTTATCCTAGGCACAAGCACTGTATCTCTCAGCCTTCATGAGATGGGGCTCATCCCTGTACTCTATAGCACTCACAGGCAGGAAGCAGCTGTGTTGATGCTGCCAGCCTGTTACCAAAGAGCACACAGCAGCACAACTGCTGTGTCAGTGACAAAGCCAGGGTGAACTGCTGCCCCAGGGCCAGGACTTCATTTCTTAAAAGCAGAAGATTCAGAGATCACTGTCACTGAATTTAGCCAATAAGTAAATGTTGTATCTTTTACACTAAGGCCATCTCATAAACACCAAGTCTGAACCATATTTTCCCATGGGGCAGTTACTCCTCTACATTGTCCCTAGCAGAATGGGGTCCAGCCGCAACTCTGGTATTTGGGAAAGAGCTGGTCTCTTTTCTTGTCTGGAAAGAGCAGTAGCTCTGATTCTAGTTTATGCTGGCTAGTACAGGACCCAAACTAACATTGGGCAGCTACAGAACTATTGGATCTACCCAACATTTAGAGAGGAATGTCAGATGATAGCTTTTGAACCTTTTTATATTGGTCCAAAAGACTTGTTCCTTTATGGGCTTGTACCAGATGGCATAAAGTCTGTGAACACATGGTGGAATAGAATCCATTCTCCCCATTCTGCCTGTGTGATTTCAAGGGCTCACATAAATTAAAGGAACACCAAACCCTTCTTTTGCCATTAGTATCTGTAGATCTACCTCTGCAGCCCACAGGTAAAAGGTCTGGTGAGGGTTTAATTTACATCAGCTCCTTAGGGGGTACATATGTCACAGCTCCCACTCTTTTTCCAATCTCTGCTTTGAACAGATAATATATTTGAAGTCAAATTGACAAAGAATTCTGGAGGCCTTGGCTTTAGTGTTCTGCAAATGGAAGGAGATGCTTTTGAACACCTTGGAGGAGCTATTGTCAGGATCAAAAGACTGTTTCCAGGGCAGCCAGCTGAAGAGAATGGCAAAATTGAAGTCGGAGACATCATTTTAGCTGTGAATGGGAAACCTATTCAAGGACTCTTGTATCAGGTACTAGTTAGTACAATCACTGGGCCTCCTGATAGGTAACACATTAATAAAGACAATAGGATGAAACTGCATTTAAACTTAATTATCACCAGAAGGGGTCAGAATTTGCATGTAATGAATCTGATTTCTATGTAGGATTCTACTCTAGAATTCTTATGGAGAATTTCCTTCCTAATAGAATTCTTAGAGAGAATTACTTCCGATATTTAATTTATAACTTTCTATTAGTGATGCACAAAGTCTATTGTTAGATGCACACCAGTTGTTAATTAGTTGGAATCTTTGTTATTGTTATGCATAATTGGAACATTTTTTCCCCTGTGCTCATCTGTGCTTTGTAATGTCATGCTAAATACCATGCCCCAGATTCAAATCTCTACCAGGTGAGGTAAATCCAGTGTAACTTTTTTACCTGGAATGAGAAATTCTATACTCATACAAAGAAATTCAATGGTACAAAGGACTCTACATGTAGTTCACTGTAATCTTTTCACCTTATGAAAATCCCTGAATTCTTTATAGGAATATGCATTGAACAGATAAGATTGGTAACAAACAGAAATGATGAAATCATGCAATTTTCCCACTGGCAGGTCACTTGTATCATTAAATAGCTAGGGCAAAAGACAAGGTGCTGCAAGTCCTAGACACCTGGGGGAGTGCTGTAATTGTACTCCTCTTTCCGCCCCCCCGCTCCGACCTGGTATCTGTCTTCTTCCAGCACTGTGTTGCTCTCTGACATACAGCCTGCAGGGACAGACTTGGTGTTTTGGCCTACAGCATTTTTTTTTTTTTTTTTCTAGATTAAGTAGTTCAACTCCCACTATAGCTGAAAGCTGAATGCCACTGAATAGACGTTATGTCAAGGAGGGGCTTTGACGAAGTCTACCTTTGGTTATGTCTATATGGCAGTCTGTGGATCTATGCTGATATGACTGACTGAAGATGTGTCCCTGCCGCATGCAGTTTGAATGCATTTGTCTGAAAATCCTATTTTCAAGAAAAGAAAAGAATTAATTTTATCCTCTGTGTCTGTTAGTAGAACAAGAGTTTGTAAACAGAACTGACTTGACTTTAGGTACACATTCACATAAAAAGCTATGGTCCATTTATATGACAATCATACAGCAGTGAATTTTTGCTCTCAGACATTGCTGAGAGGCACAAATACTAGGAACTTGGCATTCGCAATAAAATTTGTCTCCACCCCAGTTGGTAAAATTACATGTACTATAGACTGTTCCATAATAAATCTAATATTCCTTCTTTCTGTTTAGGACGTCCTGCACTTGTTGCGAGGAGCTCCTCCAGAAGTCACACTACTACTCTGCAGACCACCAAAAGGTGTTCTTCCAGAAATAGAGCAGAGTGCCCTGGTAAGGCAAAGCTTCTGTCAGTAAACATGCTTCTGTAAACCTGGAAAACCACCGCTACTTTGTCTATCCGATCTTGAAGAAGGCAACCTTCCCTTTTCTCCAAGGCCCTCTATTCCATTTCTTTCTCTTCCCAGCTTCAATGCAATGTCTAGAGCTCAACTGATTCTTCCTTAGCAACCAAAATAATAAAAATCCAACAGATGTGAAACATGTTTATTCCAGTCCAACAACTTTTGAATTGCAGTACTGTCATTGGAGTGAAAAACACATACCCAAGCAGATCTTCTCGTGATGCTTCCAAAAATGCTCTACTAGATCCTAAGCCAGAAACTGCAGATATTCTCAACTGCAGCTGTTGTAACTTGTGGGCTTGAGGTAGCTATATTACTCCCAAAAGCAAGAGGAAAATAAAGAACTTTTCCTATCGAGGCTACCTCTGAATAAACTTACATAAATGAAATAATGGTTTCAACTGGTTATTCAGCTTCTTACTAATAGCAGAATCTGCAGAGTCAGGGTGTGGGGGAGAAAATAAATCAAACAGAGACTGCAGAAACTAAAACATTGCCATTAGGTGTGCTAGCATCATTATTCCTGCTTCTTGAACACAACTCTTGGACACATACGCAAGTATTCTTATAATGAATACACATTTGCATTACTCTTGCTCCATGCGGAATGGCCCATCCATGGTTCCTGTCCCACCAGGATTTATAAGCACTGTCCATGGGAAGACAGAAATAACTGTCAGGACCATCTCCGGATAACAAACTGACTCCTGTTGCTCTCCTGCAATGTGCCCTTGGCCGATTTCTATGGTCTGTCACACAGGAGTCAAATCTAGAAGCCACTTCTACACAATGAAGAGAATATAGACACAAAGTTGAGGCATGACATGAAAAGAAATGAAAAGGGGCCACCTCTAGAAAAGAATTCATTGAGAAAAGTGAACTTGTGTAGTAGTTACCTGGTTGGAACTCCTGAAGAATGTGGAAGATGAGCATAAAGACAAAACAGTTATTTAGTGAAAGAGTACCTCCCTCTTTTTTTTTTTCCTCTCCCTTGCAGCTACCATTTGATATTTTCACATTCAGATGCTTATTGATACCACCTCTTCAAATAATTTTGTCTTTAAAGGAAAGAAGATGGGAGATAAAAATGGAATTACACTAACCTTTCTGTTATTTTGATAGACTCCAGCACCATCTCCAATTAAGGAGTTTGTGGCAGAAATGCCAGGCAGTACAGAGGTAGGAAATAGCATGGATCAGTCTACCAGTGATGGAGGTAGCACCTCTCCGGACCTTGAAGACTGTCTGGATTCTCCAGTGGCAGCAGATTTCAGTGAGCCTCCTGAATACGACAGCTCAACTTACGAAGAGCAGGAAGCCGAGTTTCAAGAGAAGAACATACAGAAACTTATGGCTCCCAGGGAAAGTTTCTATAAGCATCTTTGGAAGTTTCATCAAGAAGCTGCCAGTTCTGAAGTCTTTCACTCCCTAGAGGAAGAAGTGAAGCAGAACTGCTACTCACCATGTGAAGCTGGATGCGTCAAAAGGTAAGGAATACTGAAATCTGCTCTGCAGCCCTTCCTTCGGCTCTTATAATTTTGAAAGTGAATTGCTTAGGTTTAAGTACAGGGCTATCTGCTTCTAATCACTGATGATTATTGAAGATTCTGTTTTACCATCTTATTCTGACTATCCTAATTGGCTGTTTTTATTTACTCTCATCTTACTAGAATTTTGCATAAGTTTGCATTGCAAGACAGTTGTATGAGTGCTGCACTGTAATAATTTATGCTGTTCAGCTGAGGCTGGCTACAGTTTGAAATCATTGGAAAGACTCTTGTTGACTTACATAGGAACCAAAGACTTTCTTATTTATTATATGATCTTTCAATTTAAATTTCCTCAGAGTTGACTTAAATAGGCACAAAAAAATTCTTTCTTATTGTATGGTCTTTTAATTTCAAATTTTTTCAGAGAAAATAAAAAAACCTCAGAAGACAAACTGTGAACTCTGTTAGAGTTCATTAACAGCAACAGCCAAAACAAAATTAAATACAACATATATGATTATAGCATGGGCTTCAACTTTAAAAGTGCTGAATACTGTGTCTCAAATGAATAATAATTTTAATTCAAGTAATTGAACAAATCTATTGATTTCTGTAGGACAACTCTTATGCTTCAAGGCAAGCATAAGAATAAAAGTAGGCATACAAGAGAAGTCAGGACTTGTATTTTTTATGGAGAGACAGGAATAATTTTATATTTCATGTTTCTGGTCTGTGCTTTAGTTACCAAGGAAAGACCTGTAGGAGCCAGGAATGTGGCTGACATTCCCTTTTCAAGAAAAACGCAAATATGAAAACTGTAGTAGTATTGTAATGTGCATACCACTTACCAGATAAGTTGCTTATGGCAGATGAAATAATTAATGGTCTAGGAATTGTCCAATTATTCTTTTCAAGAAGCAACTAATTAATGCCTTAAAAAAAGAGTGCAAGGCTGCTTTTGCAAAGGCTGCTTTCAAATTCTGAAAGCTTCTTTATCTTCTAACCAGCTTTGCAAAATATTGATTACTTATTTATTTTTATAGTAACACTGGAGGACCAAGACTGCAATTTAATACCATAACTAGTACTTCAGCTAAAATTAAATTAAGGTGGTGGTTAAGCAGTAGACTTTTCAGTGGCCATCTAATGAAGGATATGGAGGAAAACCCCAGCCCTGCAATCTTTTTATTTTCCAGCCACGTATTTAATAAGAGTCATGATGACCTATCGAACACAAAATCTATGCCTGAAACTCTCTCTCTAACCCCTATTGATGAAGAGTATCTCACTATCAGCTCAACGTCTGTGACCTCACTTTCACGGGGAGGAAGCTCCGAGACACTCTCCACAACCATGGCAACCCCACAACCACATGTTTGTGGTCCTTTCTCATCATCCCTGCCTACTAGAGACACACGTGACAGTGACAATGAATGGGAAGACTTGGAGGAACTAGAGGAAGAAAAGGAAGAAAAGGAAGATTGCACTAGGGTATGTGATAGGCACCAGATTATTAACATATAAAATTTGACAAGGGAAAAGAAACAACTTTAAGAATGTAACATTCTTAAACATTAATTTTAACTATTTCTGCATGGCTTTTTTTTTTTTTTTTTTTTTACTTTCCTGAATGTCCACAATCTTCAAGTAAAGCAGACCTTCCTCTATGTCCAGGTCTCCAGAATTCTTTACCATTTGCCTTAAGACCATGTCCTTGCTCTTGCCATCTTACTATTTCTTCCACTTTCCAGCATTATTCTGCAGTATTATTCCCAGTGTACAAAGGCCCAAAAGCCCTCTAGTAGCCTCTAAAATTAATTGGAGTCAGCTACTTGTTTTTTTTCCTGTCATGTTTTAAACCCATATGGAAAATCACTTAGTCACAGTGATACTATAATGTCCTGATAAGAAAGTATGATCCTTGTGCTAATTACTATTGAAAATACAGGGCTCAGTCCCGCCAAATGCTGAACATCTTGCATTCCT